AGCAGCGAGGGGACCAGTGGGGATGCAGAGGCAGCAGCAGCAGCAGCAGCACTGCGGAAGCAGCAGAAATGGCGCTTACAAGAAAAGGAACATAACAGCAGCAGCAGCAGCAGCAGCAGCAGCAGCAGCAGCAGCAGCAGCGCCCGGCGCCCAAATCCCGTCTGCCGCCTCGGCAGCGGCGACTGAGCCTTTGGAGTTGCGAGTAGTTTTAATTAATTGAATTAAATGAAATTAAAATTAAATTAAAATTAAATTAAAATTAAATTAAAATTAAATTAATTAAAAATATTTATTTTCCACTCTCACCCGTGGCGGTGCAGCGGAGGGCCGCAGAGCCAGTGGCTGCTGCTGCTGCAGCGGATACACCGCAGCCGCCCGTCCCGGGGGCTAGACCCGTACCGCCGCTGCAGCAGCAGCAGCAGCAGCAGCAGCAGCAGCAGCAGCACAGGCAGCAGCAGCAGCACAGGCAGCAGCAGCTGGGCGGCAAGAGCGAGGAGCAGGCAAAGTCGCAGCAGCAACGCAGCCAGCCAGCTAGCTAGCCAGCCAGCTTGATAGCCAGCTAGCTAGCTAAATAGCCAGCTAGCTAGCTAGCTAAATAGCCAGCTAGCTAGCTAGCTAGCTAGCTAAATAGCTAAATAGCTAGCTAGCTAGCCAGCTAGCTAGCTAGCTAGCCAGCTAGCTAGCTAGCTAGATAGGATAGCTAGCTACGCGGGTGCACCTCGCCGGCTCTGCCTACTCCTTCATCTGACTACACAAATAGCTGGCTGGCTAGCTAGCTAGCCAACAAGCTAGCTAGCATAGCTGCATAACTAGCTAGCTAGCTAGCTAGCTAGCTAGCTAGCTAGCGAGTTATGCAGCTGTGCTAGCTAGCTAGCTAGCTAGCTAGCTAGCTAGCTGTGCAGCTATGCTAGCTAGCTAGCTAGCTAGCTAGCTGTGCAGCTATGCTAGCTAGCTAGCTAGCTGGCTAGCTAGCTGGAGTGGCTGCTTACGTCCCAGAGATTGCGAATGAAGGAAAGGCGGCTGCTGCTGCAGCGGTGCGAAGAGAAGCGGAAAGCAGCAGAGCCGCAGCGCGGGCAGAAGGCCCCTAAACACAAAAACAAACAGCACCTGCTGCTGCTGCTGCTGCTGCTGCTGCTGCTGCTGCTGCAGCGGCTGCGGGAGGTGGTTGGGGTGCTGCTGCTGCTCTTGAAGCAGCAGCAGCAAAGCAGCAGCAGCAGCAACACCGCGTCGATGACAGACAGCGGAAGCAGCAAGGCAAAACACAACCAGAAGCATTAGCATTAGCATTAGCAGCAGCAGCAGCAGCAGCAACAGCAGCAGCAGCAGCAGCAGCAGCAGCAGCAGCAGCATACGCGGGCAGGGCTCCCTCGTTGTGCTGCTTCTCGGGCAGTTAAGAGCAGCACAAAAAGAACAAACTGAAAGAGAAGTTTTATGAAGGCCCATTAAAAACAAATGCGACTGCAGCAGCTGCTCCTTAGTTGACTGCAGCACTGCCAGCTGCTGCTGCTGCTGCTGCTGCTGCTGCTGCTGCTGCTGCTGCTGCTGCTGTTGCTGCTGCGACGGTTGCAGCGTCGTCTGGCCTTGCTGTTGGCTGCTCGGCTGCTTCTGGTCGCCCTTTTGCTGCTGCTGCTGCGGCTTCTGCTGCAGCTTCTGCTGCTGTTGCTGCTGCTGCTGCTGCTGCTGCTGCTGCTCCGGCCATAGCGGCAGCAGCCGGACGAAGTTGCTGAGAATAATTCGCTGCGAATTTGCTGCTTCATCCGCTTGCTGCTGCTGCTGCTGCGGGCTCGTTGCAGCAGCAGCAGCAGCAGCACGCATGCGGCCGTCAGTCTGCTGCCGCAGATCAGCAGCAAAATAGCGGTCCCCTGTGCTGCTGCTGCTGCTGCTGCTGCTGCCAAGGGGCCCCCTTAGGGGGCCCCCATCTGAGCAGCAATACTTTCTTTCCAGCAGCACTTGCTGCTGCTTCAGAGCTGCATGCAGCGCCTTGCGGTCAACGCGGTACAACCCGCTGCTGCTGCTGCTGCTGCTGCTGCTGCTGCTGCTGCTTTCATTGTTGTTGCTGCTGCTGCTCTGTGGGTTGCCACTGCTTGATGCAGTTGGCTGCACCCCATTGCAGCCAGCAGCAGCAGCAGCTCCTGCTGCTGCTGCTGCTGCGGGGGGTTGCTGCTGCAGCGGCAGCAGCAGCCCATTCTTTTCCATTCTCCGACCGAGCCGCTGCAGCAGCAGATTAAAACCAGCAGCAAATGCTGCTCCTCCTGCTGCAGCAGCACCTGCTGCTGCTGCTGCGCGACCTGCAGCAAGGTACAAAGTGGTGTCGGCTTTTTTGGTGTCTTCTGCTGCTGCTGCTGCTGCTGCATCTGCTGCTGCAGCGTCCTTCTGGCGCCCGGGCCTCCGCCTCGGGTGCTGGAACTTGCTGCTGCTGCTGCTGCTGCTGCTTTGCTGCTGCTGCTGCTGCTGCTCGTTCACTGGCGTCGGCTTCAGCAGCTCTTCTAACTCAGGGTCTCCCTCCACCTCCAGCTGGAAGATAGGGTCCTCGCTGCTGCTGCTGCTGCTACTGTTGCTGCTGCTACTGCTGTTGCTGCTGCTGCTGCTGCTGCTGCTGCTGCTAGTGTTTTTGGCTCCATCGCCGCTGCTGCTGCTGCTGTTTGTGCTGCTGGCTTTGCTGCAGGGGAGGTTTCCGCTTGCGTCTGCCTTTGAAACGGGCTGTTGCTGCTGCTGCTGCTGTTGCTGCTGCTGCTGTTTTTGTTGTTGCTGCGGTTGTTGCTTCTGCTGCTGCTGTTGCTGCTTCTGCTGTTGTTGCTGCTGCTGCGGTTGTTGCTTCTGCTGCTGCTGTTGTTGTTGCTGTGGTTTTTGTTGTTGCTGCAGCTGTTGTTGTTGCTGCTGCTGCGGTTGTTGCTTCTGCTGCTGCTGCTGTTGTTGTTGCTGCGGCTTTTGTTGTTGCTGCAACTGCTGTTGTTGCTGCTGCTGCGGCTGTTGCTTCTGCTGCTGCTGTTGTTGCTGCTGTGGTTTTTGTTGTTGCTGCTGCGGTTGTTGCTTCTGCTGCTGCTGCTGCTGCTGTTGCTGTTGTTTCTGTTGCTGCTGCAGCTGTTGTTGTGGCTGCTGCTGCGGCTGTTGCTTCTGCTGCTGTTGTTGTTGCTGTGGTTTTTGCTGCTGCTGCAGCTGTTGTTGTTGCTGCTGCGGTTGTTGCTTCTGCTGCTGCTGCGGTTGTTGCTTCTGCTGCTGCTGCTGTTGTTGTGGCTTTTGTTGTTGCTGCAGCTGCTGTTGTTGCTGTGGTTTTTGTTGTTGCTGCTGCGGTTGTTGCTTCTGCTGCTGCTGCTGTTGTTGCTGTTGTTTCTGTTGCTGCTGCAGCTGTTGTTGTGGCTGCTGCTGCGGCTGTTGCTTCTGCTGCTGTGGTTGCTGTGGTTTTTGCTGTTGCTGCAGCTGTTGTTGCTGCTGCGGTTGTTGCTGTTGCTGCTGCGGTTGTTGCTGCTTCTGCTGCTGTTGCTGTTGTGGCTGCCGCTGCTGCTGCTGCTGCTGTTGCTGCTGCTGCCCCTGGTTGCCCGTCGGCGTTCCCTGCGCCGCTGAGCCCTCTGCTGCAGCAGCAGCAGCAGTGCTGCTGCGATTTTTGCTGTTGCTGCTGCTACGAATCCTGCCTTTGCCCCCTCTGCTGCTGCTGCTGCTGCTGCTGCTGCTGCCAGGATTGCGAATGCTTCCTCTGTTTGTGGTCCACGGAGTCCTTGCTGCTGGGGGCTGCGTGGCTGGCGTTGAGCCGAGTGCGGTGCTGCTGCTGTTGCTGCTGCTGCTGCTGCTGCTGCGCCTCTTGCTGCTGCTGCTGCTGCCGCGGGTTTTGCTGCTGCTGCTGCCGCGGATTTTGCTGCTGCTGCTGCTGCTGCCCGGAAGCCCTACGCAGTGTACGTACTGCACTTCAACGCGATCGCCATCCACAAAGATTACTTCTCGCTGCTGCTGCTGCTGCTGCTGCTGCTGCTGCTGCCGCTGCTGCAGAGTTGGGGAGTTTGCCCACAGAGAGACGTCGGGGCTGCTGCTGCTGCTGCTGAGGGGATGGCCGTAGCTGTAGGGCAGCTGCTGCAGCTGCTGCTGCTGCTGCTGCTGCTGGGGGCTTACGCCCCAAGAAGGCAGCTGCTGCTGCTGCAGCGGCAGAGCCGTGCGTGCAGCAGCAGGAGATGCAGCAGGATATTGGATGGGGCGTTGCTGCTGCTGCTGCTGCCAGGAAACTCCTCCATAATGTATGTGGCGCTGCTGCTGCTGCAGCAGCAGTTGCTGCTGCTGCTGCTGCTGGAGTTGCTGCTGCTGGAGCTGCTGCTGCTGGAGCTGCTGCTGCTGGAGTTGCTGCTGCTGGAGCTGCTGCTGCTGGATCTGGTGCTGCTGGATCTGCTGCTGCTGGATCTGCTGCTGCTGGAGCAGCTGCTGCTGCTGCAGCTGCTGTTGCTGGTGCAGCTGCTGTGGGTGCAGCTGCGGGTGCTGCAGCTGCTGCAACTGCGGGGGCTGCAGCTGCTGCGGGTGCTGCAGCTGCTGCAGCTGCTGCGGGTGCTGCAGCTGCTGCGGGTGCTGCAGCTGCTGCAGCTGCTGCGGGTGCTGCAGCTGCTGCAGCTGCTGCGGGTGCTGCAGCTGCGGCGGGTGCTGCAGTTGCGGTGGGTGCTGCAGCTGCTGCAGCTGCTGCGGGTGCTGCAGCTGCTGCAGCTGCTGCGGGTGCTGCAGCTGCTGCAGCTGCTGCAGCTGTGGCACGTGCTGCAGCTGCGGCGGCTGCTGCAGCTGCGGCTGCTGCAGCGGCGGCGGCTGCTGCAGCTGCGGCTGCTGCAGCTGCGCGTAGCTGCCGCCGATTTGCACAGGCTGCTGCTGCTGCAGCAGCAGCACCTGCCTCTTCCGCTGCTGCTGCTGCTGCTGCGGGGAAGGTGTGGGGGGCCCCTCACTCCTGGGGGGCCCCCAGGGGCCCCACGGGGTCAGGGGGCCCCTGAAGGCAATGGGGGCCCCCGGGCTTTGGGGGCCCCTCTGCTGCTGCATGCTTCTTGCTGCTGCTTCGCCGTTAGTGCATTATGAACTTGTTGCAGCAGCAGCAGCAGCAGCTGCTGCTGCTGTCGCTGCAGCGCGGGTCACGCTACTGCTGCTAACAGGGCTACCGTTGCTGCTGCTGCTGTTGGTACTGCTCTTATGGTTTCCGCTGCTGCTGCTGCTGCTGCTGCTGCTGCTGCTGCTGCTGCTGCTGGTGCGGCTGCTGCAGCAAACACTCGATACGTCTCTTGCAGCTGCTGCAGTGTCTGCAGCAGGAAAATGACTGCGGCGCTACTGCTGTTGCTGCTGCAGCTTCAGGTGCTGCTGCTGCTTCTGCTGCTGCGGCTCCGAAGAAAATCACTGCGAGTGCAGCCTCGGTTGCTGCTGCTGTTTGTTTGCTGCTGCTGCAGCAGCAGCTGCTGCTGCTGTGTCGCAGCGCGAATCCAGACAAGCTAAAAAGAAAATTAAGTTTTGACTTTCGAAGTCAAAAAAGCATTAAAATTCTGCAGCAGGGGGTAACACCTTGAAGGAGCAGCATGCAGCTCCAGCAGCAGCAGCAGCAGCAGCAGCAGCAGCAGCAGCCTGTGCTGCTGCAGCCACGCCAGCAGCAGCAGGGCCGGCTGCTGCGCTGGTGCTGCTGCATGTACTGCTGAGGGGCTCCCCTGCAGGTTCTTTCTTTTCCTTTTTTACGTTTTCAACTTCTTGGGTTTAGCAGCAGCTATTTAGCTTTTTGCTGTTGCAGCAGCAGCAGCAGCAACAAGTGGTTGCTGCTGCAGCACCTGGCCCCGTCCGTGCCTGCTGCTGCTGCACCTTCGACCGCAGCAGCCGCAGCAGCAGCAGCTGCTGCTCCTCCTGCCCTTTTGCCTGTGACTTGCCTTATTTTGCTGCTACCTTTTGATTGTTGCTGCTGCGGACCGCCACTGCAGCAAAAACAGCAGCAACAGCAGCAGCAGCGCCAGCCCCACTGCAGCAGCAGCAGCAGCAGCAGCAGCAGCCGCAAACCCTACCTGCGCATGCACGGCCGCTCCCCGCAGTTTCCCTCGTCGAATTCCAAGGCCTAAGTGCAAACAGCAGCAGCAGCAACAGCAGCAGCAGCAACAGCAGCAGCAGCAGCAGCAGCAGCAGCAGAAACCAGCAAAATGGCAGCCCTAGGAGCAGGCCGGGAGGTCCAGCCATCGCTGGCCTACCGCACAGTGCT